TTCCGTTGTGGCAAATGGGCCCCTCCTTGTAGAGACCACTTGCCCTCATACCAGTCAGCCACATGCAGACCTACCTCTAAGATAAATTCTACCCTTTATTTTGGTTTAGAAGATACATCTAAAGAATAAAATGAAGCCTATAAGATAAATTCTAAAGAATAAAATGAGACCAGGCACAGTGGCTCACGCCTGCAATCCCAGCACTCTGGGAGGCCAAGGCAGGTGGATTGGCCTGAGCTCACAGGTTGGAGACCAGCCTGAGCTAGAGTGAGACCTCATCTCTAAAAACAGTCAAACACTGTGGCTGGTGCCTGTAGTCCCAGCTACTTGGGAGGCTAAGGCAAGAGAATTGCTTGAGCCCAAAACTTTGAGGTTGCTGTGAGCTCCGATGCTATAGCACTCTACGGAGGGCAACAAAGTGAGGCTTTGTCTCAAAAAAAAAAAAAAAAAAAAAACCCAAAAAACAAATAAATGTTTTCAGTACAACACAAGAATCTTGTACAATTATTTGCTTGCAACCTCTGCAGGGCTTTTCTTCCTCAACAAGGTCCTAAGAGATCAGGATGGGTCTGTGTCTCAGGAGCTGCCAGTCTGGTAAAGGAGGTAGTGAGAGACATGTAGAAAAGGGTATCTGGGACATTCCTAAAGACCTAGATAAATGGAAACCTATCTTGTGTTCATAAATCAGAACACTTAGCACTGTGCAGATGGCAACATTTCCCAAACTGATGTAGATTCAAAATGCAATCCCCATCAGAATTCCAACCTTTTTTTGGTCCTGTTACAGAAATGGACAAACAGGTTGTGAAATTCATATGGAAATGCACCAGACCAGAATAGCCCAAACAATTTTGAAAAAGAACAAAGTTGGAGGATTTGCACTTTACCATTTCAAAACTTATTACACAGCTGTGTGTGTAGAAGACAGTGTGGCGCAGTGTACGATAGACACGTTCATCAGTGGAATAGAACTGAGAGTCCAGAAATAAGCTCTCCCATTTATGGTCAATTGATTTTGGACAGGACAATTCAATGAAAGGAAAAAAGGCTTTTCAACAAATCGGACAAGTGGATAGCCACATGCAAAAGAATGAAGGTGTGCATCTTCCTTATCCTGTCCACAAAAATTAACTCAAAGTGGATCAAAGACATAAATTTAAGAGCTAAAACTGTAACACTCTTAGAAGAAAACATAACTGTCTCTGTGACCTCAAATGAGGTAATAGTTTCCTAGATATGACAACAGAGGCACAAGTAACAAAAGAAAAATAGATAAATTAGACTTTCTAGAAATTAAAAACTTCTCTGTTGTAAATGGTACCATCAATTAGCTGAAAACTCACAGAATGGGAGACGGTATCTATAAATAATTTATCTAATAAGGGAATGGCATTCAAAATATATACTTTTATAACTCAGTAATTTAAAAAAATTTAAAAATGTATAAAGAGCCAATGTAGTAGCTCACAGCTGTAATCCTAGCACTCTGGGAGGGGCTGAAGTGGATGGATTGCTTAGGAGTTTGAGACCAACCTGAGCAAGAGTAGGACCCCGTCTTTGCTAAACATAGAAAAACTACCCAGGCGTTGTGGCAAGTGCCTCTAGTCCCAGCTACTCAGGAGGTTGAGGCAAAAAGAGAACATTTTAACCTAGGAGTTTGAGGTTGCAGTGAGCTATGACACCACAGCACTCTACCCAGGGTGAATGAGTGAGACTCAGTCTCAAAAACAAAAATAAAAATATGGCTGGGTGCCTGTGGCTCAAGCAGCTAAGGCATCAGCCACATACACCTGAGCTGCCAGGTTCGAATCCAGCCCCGGCCCACCAAAGAACAATGATGGCTGCAACCAAAAAACAGCTGGGTGTTGTGGTGGGTGCTATAGTCCCAGCTACTTGGTAGGCAGAGGCAGGAGAATTGCTTGAGCCCAGGAGTTGGGAGGTTGCTGTGAGCTGTGATGCTACAGCACTCTACCTAGGGTGACAGCTTGAGGCTCTGTCTCAAAAAATAAATAAATAAATAAACAAAAACAAAAATGCTACTTGGGAAGCTAAGACAAGAAAATTGCCTAAGCCCAAGAGTTTGAGGTTGCTGTGAGCTATGACACCATGGCACTCTGCCAAGGGCAACATAATAAGACTCTGTCTCAAAAATAAATAAACATTAAAAAAATAAAAGCAGCAAAAACAAAGCTTAGCACCTGCAGCTCAGTGGTTAGAGCACTGGCTACATACACCAAGGCTGGCAGGTTCAAACCAAGCCCGGGACTTCTAAACAACGACAACCACAACAACAAGAATAGCTGGGTGTTGTGGCAGGCACCTACAGTCCCAGCTACTTGGGAGGCTGAGGCAAGAGAATCGCTTGAGCCCAAGAGTTTGATGTTTCTGTGAGCTATGATGCCAGTTATGCTACCAAGGGTAACATAACCAGAGAAGAGTCTCAAAAACAAACAAACATGCAGTTACCATATGACTCAACAATCTCTTGTATTCATAAACACTTGTAAAGGAATGTTCACAGCAGAATTAGCCACAATAGACAAAAGGTGGAAACAACTTAACTGTCCATCCACCAAGAGATACACAAAATGTGCTGTATCTGTACAATAAATATTCAGCCTTAAAAGGAAGAAAGCACTGACACCTGCTACAACTTGGATGAACCTTGAAACATTGCACTGTATGAAACAAGCCAGGCACAAAAAGCCACACAGTATATGATCCCATTTACATGAAAAGCCCAGAACAGGGAAATCCACTGAGATAGGAAGTAGATTAGT